GTTCCAGGACAGCCAGAGCTACACAGAGAAACCCTGTCTCAAAACAAATAAAAAAAAAAATTGCATCAGTCTGTGGAATATGGGCTGCCCTGCTTCCTCTGTCTTCCTGGTGTTGCTATGCTTACAATAGTCCTTTCACCGTTGCTTCTGTTTGCTGTCTTTGGTGTGAGTGGCTGGACTCACATACTGGAAACCAGAGATTCTGTCTGGGCCTTGGCCTAGGATTCTGTTGATAACTGATGGATGCACTGGGGGAATTGAGAACTTTAGCATCGAGCAGTGGTTCTCAACCTGTGGCTGCCACCTCCACGCCGTCACATATCAGATATTTACACTGCAGTTCATAACAGTAGCAAATTACAAGTGTGAAGCAGCAATAAAATAAATTGTGTGGGGCTGGCAAGATGGCTCAGAGGTTAAGAGCACTGACTGCTCTTCCAGAGGTCCTGAGTTCAATTCCCAGCAACCACATGGTGGCTCACAACCATCTGTAATGGGATCTGGTGCCCTCTTCTGGTGTGCAGATATACATGGAAGCAGAATGTTGTATACATAATAACTAAATAAAATATTTAAAAAAATAAAATAATGTGGTTGGGGGTGTCCACAACATGAGGGACTATATTATAGGGCTGCAGCATCGGGAAGGGTGAGGACCACCTTAGGACAGGAACAGGATGATGACTGAACATTGCGATATGACCGTAGCACTCTTAGCATTGAAATTCAGTAAAGAAACAACTGTTCCAAATAGCTAAATATGTAATTCCCCACCCCCAGCCAAAGGAAGGTATGGAGTATGTTTTGTTTGTAACAGTCCTGGCTGAACCGTAGACCAGGCTGGTCTCGAACTCACTGAGATCTGCCTGCTTCTGCCTCCTGAGCGCTGGGATTAAAGGCGTGCAGCACATCCGACCGGCTTCCACACTCACCCTGAAGTCCGTCCCTCTCCTCCAGTGTCGTCGGCCTAAGACGGTACACATGCTTTGCCACACACAGCACAGAGGGCTTGCCTGTGCAACTAGACTTCAAGCCGGGCTCCTGCCTTACTTTCTCTTGGGGTCATCATGCAGGAGGATGGCTGTTTGAGCTAAACCTCAGAAGCATGAGCGCACTGTGCTGCCAACTCGGGCTCCATGATCACCTAAGGTGGGTCAAGAGCAGGCATGGCAACAGTTTGGTTCTCCAGTGAACTTTCTGGCAAGACAGAGGAAAGGCTTTCAAAGTTGTAGTTACTACGATGGGCGACAATAGATTTTTGCCTTCTCTTTCCTGTCCTGGATATCCACTTGGTGGTCACAGAACACAATGGGGACGTTTTCACACAGTTACCAGATCTCTATGCCAGTCAGGTATGTTGTTATAAGTAACTTCTGATGTTATATCAAACATCACAATGGCATGTTGGGCTTGGATGTGGTAGCCATCATGAAGGCCCTGAAACTTTTCCTGGCCTACTGTGTTCCACATGTTGAACTTGATAGGTCCTTTCTTGGTGTGGAACGTGAACGCACCTCCATGGCCAGGGACCCACAGTGTTCTGGGTTTCCTGCAGCAAGTGAAACTTTTCTTCTAGCAGTTGATTGCTTGTTAGAGACTTTCTTCTGTTGACCATTGCTGCATAACAAGTTATAGTAACATTCTGCAGCTTCAAGCGGGAAATATTTGCTAATTCACACTTTTCTGTGGGCCAGCAATCTGAGGTGACTGCGGAGGGGCCCAACTCATTTCCTCTCCTCCTGGGACCTCAGCATCTTGGCATTCATTGTTCCATGAATTTAGCCTGAAGACAAAGGAGATCAATCCAGACCCCGATCTGCCGGGTATATGTATAAAACCAAGATAAGGGGCTGGAGAGATGGCTCAGAGGATAAGAGCACTGACTGTTCTTCCAGAGGTCCTGAGTTCAATTCCCGGCAACCACATGGTGGCTCACAACCATCTGTGATGAGATATGGTGCCCTCTTCTGGCATGCAAACATATATGGAGGCAGAATGTTGTATACATAATAAATAAATCTTTGCTGGGCGGTGTTGGCGCACGCCTTTAATCCTTTCTTGAAAAACCAAAAAAAAAAAAAAAAATTATGAATTTGAAAAAACCAAGTAAAACACAAATGAAGAGAAATTTGAAGTTAAATTGTGGTAGAGTCCCTTGTACAAAGGAAGAAGAGGAAACATGCTTGTAAATTCAGACAAAATGGTGCCACACATGAGGCCACAGTTGAGGAAGACAGAGTGTCAGTTGGCAAGGAAGTGGATGGCACACAGAAAAGACTGTGAATACAGGGGTGCCCTGGGCCAGCCTGCCTATGGAGAGTGAGCACACACAACACTCATGGACACTTCCACAAGGGCAGGAAAGAGCTCTTTGGGACTGGAGATGCTTGTGAATGCTTTGGGGCTAGGATTACAGAGCCAGCTGAGGGACCAGCTCAAGACACAGGCATGTCCCTTTCCAAGGGGTATTGGTAAGTGCTGGCCGAGTTTCCCGAGGAAAGGGGATGAGTCCATCGCAAAGGCCTGACAGTAAACCAGAAAAACACGCTCCTCTGAGACCAGAGGGGAGGGTTGGAGATGGTGGAGGCAAGGGGAAGAGAAACATGGCAGCTTGGCACTCAGTCACCACAAGCTGGGGTATTCCCAGGCACTCAGTGAAGTTTGCTGACTTTAGCTGAATGAGCTGTGGTGAACAAGCTGAGAAACACCTGTCAGAGAGGAGCTGGGGTAAGGAGTTCAAGGAGAGGAATGAGGTGGGAAGATGGGGTGAGCCCCGGGAGGACTGAGGAATGAGGTGGGAAGACCGGGCGAGCCCCGAGAGGACGGAGATGCCCAGTAAGACAGAGTGCCTGAGGAATCAGCGCCTGTCATTTCTGAACACAATCTTGCATTTGGTTGACTAGGACAACAGTGCCACTGGTGTCCCCAATGCTGTCCACCAATAGCAAGCACGAAAGAAATGTCACAGTTTATTTTATTTTTTAGTTTTTTGAGACAGGGTTTCTCTACGTAGCCTTGGTTGTCCTGGAACTTGTTTTGTAGACCAGGATGACCTGGAACTCATAGAGATCTACCTTCCTCTGCCTCCTGAGTGCTGTAGTTAAAGGTGTGTGCCACCACCACCGCACTACAGTTATTTTTTTATATAGATTTATTTATTTATTTTACGTATGAGTGCTCTGTCTGCATGCATGCCTTTCTGCCAGAAGAGGGCAACAGATCCCACTATAGATGGTTGTGAGCCACCATGTGATTGCTGGGGATTGAACTCAGGACCTCTGGAAGAGCAGTTAGTGCTCTTAATCGCTGAGCCATCTCTCCAGCCCCTACAGTTTATTTTTTTAAATATTCATTTTCATTCTTTTTTTATGTGTGGATGTGTATGCATATGTCTACAAGAGAGAGCAAGAAGAGTTTATGTTATTTAAGATAATGGTGAACAAATCTTAAAAGTTTGAATGCTTTCTTTTGTTTCACTGATTTGCACATTACATCAAAATAACAAAAACGAAATGATAACCCAGTGGCTGGAGCTCAACAGTAAAGTGAGGCTTCCACTGCGGAGGACTAGTTCCCGAAATCCACATGGCAGCTCAGAACCACCCGCAAATCCAGGTCCGGGGGATCCAGCGCCCTCTTCTGTCTCCCAAGGGCACTGAATACATGTGGTGCATATAAATAAACTGTGCTGTTGTTTTGTTTTTTGAGACAGGTTGTCTCTGTGTAGCTCTATCTATCCTGGAACTCGCTCTGGAGACCAGGCTGGCTTTGAACTCAGAGATCCATCTGCATCTGTCTCCCGAGTGATGGGACTAAAGGTGTGCACCAATGCGACCTGTTTGTTTGTTTTAAATCACTGAAATGAGGTCCTAATTACATTTTGTTATCCGTAGTACTCTGAGGATAGAAGCCTTAAATTATGTTTATTACATTTGTGTGCTGTAATTGATATTTTCAGAGAAACTTTCCTAACTCTGGGGTCAGCATAGTGAGGTGTGTTCACACATCCCTTGGGGTCAGGATGGGAAGGGACTCTTAGGAACACTGATGCCCATAAGAAGCCCCAAGTGAAGAGGTCTACTTGCCAGTTTGTGCTAGGTTGTGCATGTGTGCAGTAGTAGTAGTGATCTATTTTATTTTTCTTTTCCTTCCCTCTTTCCATTTATTTATTTATTTATTTATTCATTCATTCTTTCATTCATTTCATTTTTATCTTTCTTTTTTTGAGCCTGTCTTAGGCCTGGAGCTGGCTTTGTAGACCAGAGATCCTCCTGCCTCTGCCTCCCTGAGTGCTGGGATGAAAGACGTGCGCCACTACCCCGTTTTATTTTTCATTCAAGCCTCAGAAATAAAAAATAAAACGACTAAGAATCTGTATGGAGAAGAAAAACACAAAGAAGCTGGGCGTTGGTGGTGCACACCTTTAATTAATGCTGGATTAATCCCAGCATTCGGGAGGCAGAGGCAGGCGGATCTCTGTGAGTTCGAGACCAGCCTGGTCTCCAGAGCGAGTGCCAGGACAGCTTCTAAAGCCACAGAGAAACCCTGTCTCGAAAAACCAAGGGAAAGAAAAGGAGGAAAAACACAAAGAAGAGTAGAATTTCTTTAAGCAGTTTTTGTTAATTTTACCTCAATAAAGCTAGGCAGAAATGTTTTTAAAAGGACAGGCGTGCTAACAAGCTTTTCTTTAAAAGCTCTGCATAGTTTTTTAAACGCTCAGCGGCGCAGGAGACGATCGACCTTTACATTTTGTCGGGTCTTAACAAAAGATCATGGCACGACCCAGATGGGACTCGAACCCACAATCCCCAGCTCCGGAGGCTGATGCCTTATCCATTAGGCCACTGGGTCACCACAGAATCCTTGTTCTCACACTATCTCCTTATGTGATGTAATCATCGCGGCCCCACCCACCGAGCTCCGATCTCGTTTCGGGCGGCGTGCGATGCCGAGTGCGCTTGCGCAGCCAGCCTCGGCTCTGAGTCTCCAGTGCGCCTGCGCCGCAGCCCTGAGTCGCGGACTGGCTCACGATGCGCTGCTGCGTTGTACGGCCCGGGAGAAGTACGTCTCGCTTCCTCAGAGGATTTTTTTTGTGTGTGTGTGTGTGTGTGTGTGTGTGTCGGGGCGAGGGAAAGCTCTTGATACTGATTTATTAGGCTCATCCTGGAAACTTTAAAACAGCCGTGCTGTGCCGTCCATTGGACTTGGGCGGGCCGCAGCATCTGCATTTTCCAAAGGTCCCGGGACCTTTCTGTCTCACCCACCCTGTACTCCCCGGGGTTTGAGGCCCGTTTCCCCATTCTTTCTTGCTTTTACTCAACAAACATTGATTTGGTAACCTATTATGTGCTGTGGACTCTTGGCAGATTCCAGGGTGAACAGGCTTTTCCAGCTCATCGAAACTTCTTTCCCAACAGCCACTTGGAAACAC